GCATAAACACATTTCATTACACCAAATACACAAAATAATGTTCTTTTTAGCAGCATCATATGACCCCTTTAAATTTGAATATAATTCGAATTTTGATAATATTTAATTACAAAATTCAAATTTTGTTTTTCAGCCATTTTGACAGCCCTATTGCACACTGAGTCGCACGTTGAAAAATAAATACGACCTCACGTTGTGTCAATCACGTTTACACACTGCCTCCGAAACTTTCGTCCGTCATAAAAATTATTCGGATCGGGTTCGATTTTCTGCGTTTTTCGCATCCGTAGCAAGCATTTTGAGAGGTGTTTTATCAATTCAGAGCCACCGTACAAGCGAACGCCAAAATCCAGAATGGCGATTTTCAAGTTCATCCACTTCGTCTCACAGCACAAAGCACTGTAAAGATCCTTGCACACCAAGTTCACAGAAATTCTTTCTAATATGTGGCTCTAGTATCGCTAGCAAAGCATCAAACTGAGCCACTGACATCCTAAAGTAAACTTTGAATCGCCCGTGATAATCCCACTGCTCTTAAATAAGGAGGAGGAATCTCAGGATTGGATGGACCCAATACCCAATAAGAAGCGAGAGGACAACAAAATCCCCCTCACTGCTTGAAGACTCCATTTAGTACTGTTTTGCGAATGGATTCATTAATACGCATCGGACTCAGTGTGCAAGGTTCCAGTCCGTGATGAATTTTTAGGATAACGAATATGAAAAAACGCATACGAAAATATCGGACTCAGTGTGCAATGACCTTAAGTGTGAGTAGCACATACGTGACTTCTCCTGTCTGCTAGCAGATGTTCTCTCTGTCGGTCTCTTTACGGTGACTGGTTTGGTAGGGATGTACGACTCCACATTGTCCTTTCTTTTAGCTGAGAGAGAGTGTTCGATCTTTCGCCCACCTGCACACACACACACACACACACAAAAAAAAAAAGCTGATTTCACTGATCTAACATCATCATGTTGAGAAATCAAGAACAGAACTAGAGCCGTGCAATTTGGGGGAAAAATGTAATTATATATTATTGTTATTTTTTAAATTCTAAGTATTATTAGTGAATAAATGAAAAATGATTATTAAAAAAATATTAAACAAAACAAGAAATATTACTGTTCAAAAAAACAAGTATTTATGGAAAAAAAACCTACTTTGAGACTGCGGTCAGAAATCATTACCTTGCGTGGAGGGGCTGAATTCCAGCATGATGAGGTCACCATGGCTGAGCTGCTTGCTGATTGGCTGGCTTGTGGGTTGGACAGGAAGTGTGAGGTCAGGGAGACTGTCGCTGCTTTCCTCTCTCTCGATCTGCTCCTCGATCCATTCCTCCTCCGACTCCTCTCCGGCTGAGTCTCGACTGCTGCGTCTGACGCTCACCTCCAGGCTGCGTCGCAGTGCCTTAAACACACAAGCGCTGGTCAAGTATCGAGTAGGAAGATGAGGCACAATTTTTTCCACATGATTTTTGGGTGAACAATCCTTTTAAGAGCAATGCAGTGTTTGTGTATATCCTGAAGTGTGCTCATATCAGTGACACTTCCTCCTCACCTTGACCTGGTCAGCATTCAGAAGAACCCTGTCGACAGGCTCCGGCTCGCTGCGTGACGTCAGGGCGACAGAACGTGACGCTTTACTGCTGTCATAAGCAGACTGACAGACAAACACAAGGTTTTACAGTCGTTATAATTGATCTGGGATCAGAATGGCATACTAAGTACTATTTCTCAAAGAAAGTAGTATGTAGCATGTGCAACGTACACAATTTTCTGTATGGATGGAATACCCAGATGACACACTACATTTGCCCAAGTGGAATACTGCATCCCACAATGCAATGTGCTAGTGACTCATTATTTGTTCAGACTGTCATAAAGACGTTTTCACACCTCATTCCATTGAAAATGTCATTACAGAATTAGCATAATTATGAAATATTGCAAATTCAGAAATAGTTTTTTATGGCAATGCTCATGAAACAGAAATGGATGTTTTGGAATTTGGAGTTTCCTGTGTTATTAAAATAACTTTATAAATCAAGCTATTATCGCTAATTTTCTTTGTACAGAATTCTTAACATTTGAAGAATTATTATATGTGTGAAAAAACATAATAAATAGTAATATCTTTTAAATAATAATAAAAAACATGAAATAATATAGATAAAATATACATTTAAAATTAGAAATTGTAAACAAATTTAAAAATAAAATGAATAAAAATGTCTCATATTTTCTGACCAGTGAAGATGTCAACAGGTTAAATAAAAGTCCGAATTACTAGCCCAATTAGACAAAAATAAATAAATAAAAAGAAGACGAAGAAAAATCCTTTTTGTGAAGCCTTGTAGTGTTACCTAACTACAAAATATACTGTCTATCCCTTATATATTTAAATATAAATGTTGATGTTTTTTTAATTCAGAAATCATTTATTATATGGCAACGCTCATAATGCAAAAATTGATTCATGCATTTTTAAAAATACCTAACTACATTAACTCGCCTTAAAATACTAAAAAGTAAGAATCACAGTTGTCAGGTGGAGCTGGAAGTTGGAGCTTATAAACTGTAATTAAAAAATCTAGACTGGCCAGAGTTGAGAACTAGTAATTACGGTAATTCTGACGTGGCATAAATGCTACATTATTCCTGAGATGAAAACTGGACAATCATAGAGACATATTCTCACCTCCATATCTGCACTCTCGTACAGCTCAAAGTCATCGGAATATCTGTGCTCTGGTGAAATCTTCGCTTTTTTTCCTTTCTCAGTGCAGATGTACACAGATTCCTACAGCAATGTGCATAAAGTTAAAATGCAGTGCCATACTGAAGAAACAGAAAGGGAAAAAATTCAGTTCATACAGCACACATCTAGTGTGGAATGAGTGTTTGGGGTTTCTTCAAATCACTATAAGTGATAGTAACAGAGGCTTATGAAGCCATTAGGAGTAACTGGACAGTGCGTGTGTGTACCTGCACCCATCGTCGTCTCTGTGCTTTCTCAGGCGCCGTGTGGCTCCTCTGTTTCTGTCGATCGACCGCACACTTCTCTCCACTCTCTCTGGATGAATCTATGTGAACACGGCCGCTTTATTTCATTCAGACGTCACAGGAAGCCTGCACTCATCCGCTCATCAGTGTAGGGTGAGTGTTTACCTGCAGTGCGTGTGTTTCTCTGTGCCGGCGGACGGGCCGCTACTGAAGGCTGGACGGTTTTCCTGCTGGATCGGCTGTTCTGAGGCGCATTAGCGTTGCTGACATGAGCACCGTTGATGTACAGATTGAAGCCCTGCTCCAAAAGCTCCAACTCCGCCTGGCGAGGGTCCTTCCTCTGCAGTCTTCTCAAGGCCCTGAGAGAGAACATAAAACACACACACACTAGCTGATTGTCTCACATTGACTGAGGCAGAGAAAGGCAGGTAATTAACAGGAAATAGAGGTATTTAAACACTAGCTATTAAAGATTCTTAACTTCATTATTCAGGTATTTCACAGTACATTTAACCCTATGCAACATATATTTCCCAGCAACATATCTTACATTTTTGATCACATGCATGTGGTTTTATGTCTCGCAAACGTAAAAATCTGGTTTTCTGTAACATTTGATTGTGAATTCTGTGGGGTCTGTAAGATCTTTTAAATGTTTTTGAGAGACATCCCATATGCTGACCAAGGCTACATTTATTTGATCAAAAATATAGTAAAATTGTTAAAAATTAATACAGTTTAATATAACTTTTTCTATGGGAATATATTTTAAAATAGAATTTATTGCTGTGATCAAAGTTGAATTTTCAGCATCATTACTCCAGTCTTCAGTGTCACATGATCCTTCAGAAATCATTCCAATATGCTGATTTGCTGCTCAAGAAACATTTCTGATCATTATCAATGACAACAGTCGTGCTGCTTCATATTTTTGTGGAAATCGTGATGCATTTGATTTTCAGGATTCTTTGAGGGAACAGAAAGTTTAAGGGCAGCATTTATTTGTAATCATTATAAATGTCTTTACTGATCATTTTGATCAATTTAATGCATTTTTCTGTATTCATTTCTTTAAAAATGCTATTCATTTAATATCTAATTTACAGCTATTATTGCAAATTTGCTTGATAAAGAATCGCTAGTATAATAATAATTAAATAGTTTAAAAATAAACATTAAATGATCAATGTAAAATAGTACATTTAAATGTAAAATCAGATAAAAAATAAAAATTTAAATGTATATTTTTTGTGAATAACTGAATATCTAGCCTAACCAGACAAGCAGCAAAAAGCCTCGTCACTAAACCCGCCCTATGTTATTAGTAGGTTTAATTTTAGAGAATAATATTAGTAATTAATCATTTAATTTAATTACTAATAATTTTAGATTTCAATTAAATATAAATCATTTGACTTTTTTTTGCATGCCGTGATCTCCAATGAGACAGTAAACAAGTTTGAATGCTACCCAACAGAGAATTCAGCTTTCTGAACCATCATGTGCGTTCTGGAGAAAGACGAGATTTCGTTTCACTGGCAGCTGGTTATTTACGAGCATCTGAGTTCAAAGACAACACGTCACTTAATGCTACAAATTTCCACGGCCAGTTAGAATTTCACTCTAGCGGGTTTCCAGCCAATCAGAGCAGCTCATTAGCGGGTCCAGTCTTGTAGAACGTCACATGTACGAGCAAGCGTTTGCATGCGATTCCTGCCGTGCTTGTAATAGTAGCCATATCGTTCAACCTGGGCTCACACAGTTAACCTATTTTTGCGTTATCTGACCTGTGTTTGTACGTTTGTGTTCGGGTGTGTCATCAAACCTGTTTTTGTGCTGCAGGTTGATTAAATATTCATCCAGCTTCTCCTCGGCCGAGGAGTGTTTCCCTCCCCTGCTCCTCCTGAGCTCCTGCAGACAATAAAAAAACTCTCAGTCAATCTGAACAATATGAGACACTAGATGATATATAAAGCTACACAGAGAGACAGAGGTGATAAATGGGATGGAATGGGAATTACAAGAAATTTCCTATTTATTTGACTATTATGGTTCCTGAACAATTATTTTAGCAATTTTGAGAAAGCAAAAAAAAAAAAGAAAAAATAATGACAGGTTTACTCTCAGTCATTAGTTGGACAAACAGTTGACTCTGCATACTAACCTGTGACCGGAGCAAGTATTTTAACGGGGGAAAAAATCTTTAAAGCAACCCTTCACCCACAAAAGTCCGTAATCCATAATAACGCCTCCTCCAGTGAGAATGCCCATCCACTGTTGTATCTCACGTCAAAATCCAGCCACATATTTGTTTAGAACTGTTTTGGCTTGTAAACGGTGCTTGAACTGTGCAGATTTCTCTCCTGATTCAGACCAGATGACTTTTTCAGTGGAGAAAGCAACATTATGGATATTATAGCGACATCAAAAAATTGGATTGTTTCTTACAAACATGCAGCTTTTGGCTTCTCAAGATGTTAACTGATGGACTGGAGGGGTGTGGATTATTGTGATGTTTTTATCAGCTGTTTAGACTCTCATTCTGACGGCACCCATTCACTGCAGAGCATCCATTGCTGAGCAAGTGATGGAATGCTACATTTCACCAAATCTTACAAAATTCACCAAATTCATCTATATCTTGAATGGCCTGAGGGTGAGGACATTTTCAGCCGATTTTTTATTTATGGGTGAACAAATAAGTCCACGACTGATTTGTGAGTCTTTTAGAACAATTCATTGAAAATAAGAAGTTCATAAGAGTCATTTGGATTATATGCTTGTTCTTGCATGCAACTAGCAAAGATGTCACAATAGAAAGATGCAAGAGACACAGACATGAAAGAAGAGAGACAGGATGACTCTTACAGAATTTTAATCACAGCATCTGGATACTAGAGAGGAGCATGAAACCAGAAGAGAAGAGAGAAAACACACAGGAAAGAGAAGATAAAGTGTAAGTAAGATTTACAGCTGATAAACTAGGTGTTTTGCTCTCGATTGGGAAGAAGATTTTTTTCAATACGCAGCTTGTGTGTTTCTGTCAGGTTTCCACTGCACATGACACATCCAATCACAATTCAGCGATGTAAAATCAGTGTAAATCACTGTACTGATGCTGTAACAGATCTACCTGACCAAACTTACTTGTGCTGAATCATGATAAGCTTTTAGCAGAAATAAATAACATTTTCTTTTGACCGGGAAAGCTACAAGACTTTTTTTTAAGCTATCCTTTTGAAAGGAAAGGTCATTTTATCATTTAGATTATTGTATGTTTTTATTATTTTATATACTTTTATTATTATTATCATCATAATATTTTGCTTTGTTCCTCCACTTTTGCGAGTCACATAAAAGTGTCTGCTAAATGCATAATATAAATGTACATTTATTTTATAACACACGTCAAAATTGTTATTTATTACTTTATTATTTTCATATTTTCTTTTTGTTTTAATTTAAAGTTTTAGTCATTTTGTTGTGCATTGTTGTCATTTTTATTATTATTTTTTTATTTAGGTTTTAGGTATTTTAGTACATCAAGTGAAAGTAAACGTGAAAGGTTGTCTTGGTGACTAATTAAAACAAAAATTAATTTAAGTTCTTTTTATATTTCATTTTATTTCAGTTAACATTAGTTTTTTTTAAGTAACAGAACTGTTTGTTGATGGTTTATTTTTAGTTAACAATAAAAACCCTGGTCTGAACATGTTGTTTCTGGTTTTATTTTCAGTATACAGTCTTCCTGTATGGATATAAAATGGAAACAATAACGTTTTATAATTATAATTTGGGCAAACAAAGGATAACAAACTTTACTAGATTTAAACGAGCTGCTGCACAGACATATGTACATAAAAAGGCAAAAACTGCCAAAAGAAAACAAACAGCATATATCTCAATTATACTAGAAAAAAGAGACACTAGTTAACGCTACATAACTTACTAATTAATACTATATGACTTTAAAGTAGTGCTGTCAAACGATTAATCGCGATTAATCGCATCCAAAATAAAAGTTCTTGTTTACATAATATATGTATGTGTGCTGTGTATATTTATTATGTATATATAAATACACACACATGCATGTATATATTTCAGGAAAAATATGTTATGTTTATATATTAAATATATTTATTTATAATATAAATTATATGAATAAAAAAGACATGTAAATATTTTCAAAATATATACTGTATGTGTGTGTATTTATATATACATAATAAATATACACAGAACACACACATATATTATGCAGACAAAAACTTTTTTGTATGCGATTAATCGCGAGACAGCACTACTTTAAAAACCTTTATTGATTGTATATATCTCTACATGCACACCTATAATGTTTAATAATGCTTTGCCAGTGTAAAGCTTTTGTTTGTACCAGGTTCCAAAGCTTATACTGAACTCATTATTACTAAAGCTAACCTAGCCTTAACCCAGCTATCAGCTGAACAAACTGATCAGACAGATAAAGCGATCAGATCAGATGTTATACAGATGTTCACATGATGATAATTAGCCTCTCTGCTAACAACACACACAAACCCTTTCCGATATTAAACTCTACGGCATAAATCATCATATTAACTCTAGTATTCGTTTCTACACACCCTGAAATATACGTGTTGAATAATAAAAGCTGTCCACTTACAGTCCATGACATTTCTCAGCTGAAATCGCCCTTCTGTTTGCAGCAGGAGCGTCTGTGTTGTTGCGTTCAGCGAGGGCTGGTAACCAGGAGAAACGCTGACCAATCACAGCACGTTCTCTAAACACATTCCCCGCCCATCTAACTGTAACTACGAGAAATTGACCAATCACAGCGCGCTATGGAACAACAGGCCGCCCACACAGCGACACGCTGCCCAATCATAACACGCCTTCTCATTAGAAGATCCGCCCACACAGGTGAGGTCAACGCAAAATGCTCGTTCATACACAACGATCAGTCATTTTCTACACATCATTATCGTTAGATGTGCCTCCCAAGATTATTAAAGATCTAGATCAGATTCTTTATAACTTTATTTGGAGAAAAAAAACACTTCACTGAAAACATGTAATGCTCTGAAAGAGAATTTATGTAATTTTCTTCCTTTCTTTTTTCTCTGGCAGCTAATGTTAATTTGATCATGTGAATATGTAATACCGCTTGTTCTTGAGGCATTGCATAAATAAAGCATTAAAAACAACTATCAGTCATTTTTGATAAATGAATCGATCAAATGAAAATAAAGGTGTTTTTTCCCCAATAGAATTTACATTGGATACAGCAACAAGTTTCATAAAACAATGCATTTGAATATGTTGAAATACTTCTATTCTATAATATTACATTTTATTTAATCTTGCACTGACCTAACACTTATATGGAAACACTTTTAAATATGCAAAGCGGTCAAAAATAAAATAAATAAATAAATATGCAAAAATATATGACTGTCATAAAATCTAAAATATGTTTATAATAAATTAATAAGTTAGTAAATGCCCCGTTTGTTTGTTTTTATTTTCTTAATTTTAATCGTTACCAGTACTAATATTTGGTCTGCTTATGCATATTTGTACTCATAAAATACAAATGGGTCATTCCTTTTGAACACTTAAATAAATAAATGGGATAAAATTGAAATAAAAAGCTAAAGTTAGCTCTTGTTCAGTGAAGGATTGAGAGTTAACTTTCATGATGGTGTCAACTAAAGTTAATAGTGTTTTTAACACAATCTTTAAAATGTTAATAGTACCATACCCGTTTCTGTTTGATAATACATTGATGATACTCACTGTGATTGTTGTTTTCCCTCCAAAACGATGTCACTTCCTGGAGGCTGGTGTCATAAAGGAAATCGCTTTTGAAGATTTACAGACTAACAGGGTGAAAATATCAGACACACACACACACACACACACACATATATATATATATATATAAACTGATTACCAAATAACATAATAAATTCCACTTTTTTTATAATCATTGTTGATTATAGAAAAGTAAAAATGAAGAAATATGAGAATATTTCCTAATAAATTGTCAGTTTTTCATTAAATGATATCCATTAAAATTAATTAAGTTATGTCAAATCCACACATATTCATCTAACTGATCTATTGCAATGATATATATTCCATCACTAAAAAAGGATATACATTATATAATATGTTACACAACATATATAATAGGGCCCTGAAAAACAGTACAAATAATAATGTCTGATTTTAACAAAAATGACTCCACAGATCCACATCACCTCTGGTCAGATGATGCATTGAACTTTAGAGATCAAAAATCCAACGCAAAGAAGTTGCTAAAATCCAAAAAGTCCAATGTCGAACACATTTTTATTAATTATAAACTCTATCATTTATATAAAACCAGACACAAAAGACTGAAATTAAATCACTTTGAATTAAAAAAAAATAATGTAAACTGTAAAATAAAAAGTAAAAGCTCACAGCAGACATCCAACTGCAAATGAATCTGTATTTCCCACTCACACACATCTGACCACTGAGAATATATGAGAATCGCAGAACCAATGAATGCATCAGAGGAGACGTGAATGAGAAGAACAAAATAAAGTCAGAAATGATTAGGGAAGCACATGAGAAATGAGGTTTGTCTGATGTTAAACAGAACCAGGAGAACCACTACACACCCCTCAACAAAAATAACCGTTAAAACACGTCCCCTGCAGCATTAATGCTGGCATGTGTGTGTGTGTGCGGGTTTCTTTCGTGCATAAATATGTGTGTGTGTGTGTGTTCGAACTCGGTAGGCAGCTGACAGAATTCCCTTTTCTTTGGCGTCAATCCCAAAATATTAGCGCAAGGAAACCGCTCTGGATGAAATGTGAACGTTAAAACAAATTAAATGAACAATAGCAATAACTTAAATAAAAGTGCTTAAAAAAAACGATTCGTTTGGAGCCCTTTCATTAAAACAAAAGTCCGAGAGCGCACCGGGATGCCCAATGCGGTAAGACCGGGAAATTTCATAGCAATAATTCGAATAAGAGTCACAAATCAGGATGGAGAGTGACGGGCTCAGAAACACCTCCGCACGTCATCGTCCAGAATTCACCACCATCCCAAACGCGGCCGCCCTCAAGATCCCGGCCACACGGACCCAGGCTCGCAGTCCGTCTCGGCGGCGACAGAGTCCGACTGTTCTCTCCGCTGTCTTTCCGTCTCCCACTCCACGAAGGAGTCGAACAGGCTGGGCCAGGCCTCGTCCTCGCTGTAGTTGCTGAGGTCCTGGCCGATGCTCTGTGTGAAGTTCAGAAACATGTTCCAGGTGTCCCGGGAGATGCCGCGCACGCCGCACGGATTCTCCGACAGGAAGTCCAGCCAGTGCTCAAGCAGCAGCGGCGTGTCCAGCGTGAAGACGAGCCGCCACAGCGCGATGGCGATGGAGCGCTGCAGCGAGCGCTGGCCCTGCTCGGCGTCCAGCCCGAACTGGAAGGTGAAGCGGTAGAGATCTTTGAAACTCTCTTCTCCACGGGACTCCTCTAGCAGCATGGAGAACCGAGAGCAGATCCCTGGGATACTGTCGGCCTGGATCGCCTTACAGCCGTCCACAAACTCCTTCCTGAGACACACAAGCGCAAAACATGACAGGCTGGGATTTTAAAGTTGACATTTGCTACCAATTTTACTTCTGTAATGTGGCGGATTTACAGTGGAAACCATATTCAATAGGGCAGGATTTGTTCAGAATTGAATTGATAATGAATCCTTATACAATACAACTATAATTGGAATTTAGCAAAAGAATGAAATATATATACACATGTATGTATATGTGTGTGTGTGTTGTATGAATTACTTTTACATTTTGTTTACATTTTTTAATTTGAATTAATCTTAGTAATTTTGTTGTTTTTTTGTTATTTTTAATGTTTTTTAATGTCTATATAGGTTATTAATATTTATTTACATTTTAGTTATTTTAGCACATCAACATTAACAGTGTTGGAGAAAGTTACTTTTAAAAGTAATGTATTACAATATTGTGTTGCTCCCTAAAAAGTAACTTATTGCATTACTTAGTTACTTTTTTATGGAAAGTAATGTGTTGCTTTACTTTCGCATTTCTTTTTCTCATCTGGCCTGGGCTTGCTTGTTTGTTTTTAATATAAAAAGTTATATTTTTGGCAAATGTAAAGCCCTTTCACACCAAAAGTGAAATGAATACGCCTCAGGCTGAAGGAAATGTAAAGTCACGTCTGTACAGTAGAGGGTACAGCTCAAAAACTTTGAGGAATACTGAACCTGCTTTTGTGGAGTGAGATGAGTAAATGCATGTTCATATTTAGTCTAGAACTACAGTAAGGATCATGTTCACACAGCGCACACAACACCTCCGCACTTACTCCTGATTTCCCTCAACACGGGGACAGGAGAACTGTCAGTCAATAAATGGGAAAACAAAGTAACTGGCATTACTTATTTGAAAAAGTAACTCTGATATTTTCTTTATTCATTACTTTACTAGTTACTTGAAAAAAAGTAATCTGATTACATAACTTGCATTACTTGTTATGCGTTACCCCCAACACTGAAGTTAGAACGAGCCGTTTTAGGTAGGCGTGGTCGACTCTTAACTTTTATAAAGAATATCTCTTTGGATTTGAGACTTTAGAAAAATTGAAATCGCATCATATGACCCCTTTAAAACTTGACTCTTCTGTGATTATTACGCCGGAATGAGAGTATAGTTCCTAGCCATATCGGCCTAGAAAATCGCAACTTTTCATTTTCCGTCGGTCTTAGTACATGATGTAACTACAGAAGAGTCAAGTTTTAAATAGGAAAAATATAGAAACTCTTATAATATAGATGCTAACGGTCTAATCAGATTCAATGATCTATGCTAAGCTACAGCTAAAAGTGCTACCACCAGACCTGGAGATCGGCTGAATGGATTCGAAAACTGTAAAACTCAACTGTTTAACTCTAGGGGAGTTGGAAAATTAGCCTATTTTCAAAAATAGTGGAGTGTTCCTTTAAGGCCACATAAATACTGGGGGGAAAACCCACTGCCAAACGGCAACACTTTGCATTGCACATTGCAACACTTTGAGGTGATGAAGCAATCTTTGCGAGTTTCTGTCTGTTTCTGGAGGAAATGCAGTGACTAATGATCTCTCACTCCAGTGCTATTCAACAAGAACACTGGAAAAACATACATTTTTTACTTTGCTTTCTTCAACTTAACTTTTACTTTTTCCCTCAGACCCTTATAATATCCACAATGATGTGCTGTAGAACTCTATGCAGAACGCAATATTAGTGTATTATGGTACAATAATTCAATTTTGACTGTTGAATGATGAAAGAACTGTTACAAATGATGATTCGTGTCACTTCCAGGACTTCTTCTGCAGATTAAATGGAAGATCAAGCTCTGTGCATTGCATTCTGGGATACGGTAATCAACTGCACAGTATAAATACTGAATGACACCTTCAATAGCGTAAAAACATAGCACACACAAACAAAAAATGTGCTTCACTTGTCATCTTGGATGGATTTTATTATGAAGCAGTGCATTCTCAACGTTTTTTTTTTATTTGAAGAAATTAATACTTTTATGAATGAAGGATGCATTAAAATGATCAAAAGTGTCAGTAAAAACATTTATAAATGTTACAAAAAAATTATTTCAAATAAAGCTGCACTGATATGAAACTGTTTTCAACATTGATAATAATCAGAAATGTTTCTTGAGCAGCAAATCATCATATCAGAATGATTTC